GGGCTCAGGCAATCCACTCACCTCAGCCTCCCAAGGCACAGGATTACAGGCTGAGCCATCGAGCCCGGCTATCTATCCACACTGTTGAGAAAACAGTTCAGTGATGTCTGGTTAGTAGCTTTTTTTTCTTGTCATAGATGACACAGTAGCACTGAATTGCATTCCGAACGGCTGCTGCAACTTCATGAACTGTTCTATGTTTGGGTCTTGTGCCTCAAAAATTAATAGTGCCTCCTTAAATAAAGAAAACCTTTTTGTCATTTCCTGCATCATGAATCTCTTCAGTTCTTCAGTTACTTCTTCCTCTTGTCTCTCTTTGTCCTTTCTCTGGGCCCCTCCAATTCCATCAGGTCTTCATTAGGAAACTCCTGGTGTTACACAGCAAAGAGTTCAATGAAGTTTAGTTTTATTGCAGATCTAGCTCTGGCTTCTTGCTGAGGGTCACTAAAACCTTTCTGGATTCCTCACCCACCTTCTCAAATCCGCAAAAGTCATGAACAAACTGAGGCCAAACGTTCTTCTAAACATCATTCATGATGACATCCATAACCTCATGTCAAGCAAAGTCAATGTTTTTTATGGTCTTGTAGATGTTATAGTCCTTCCAAAATTGTGGCAACGTTGTTCCTGCTTTGTCACTCATTTTTACTGCCTGACAAAGAGTGTGACATAAATAATATTTCTTTTTTTTTTTTTTTGAGTTGGAGTCTCACTCTGTCACCCATACTGGAGTGCAGTGGCCGTTCCCGGTCACCGCAGCCTCGACCTGCTGGGCTCTGGCAATCCTTCCGCCTCAGCCTTCCAAGTAGCTGGAATTGCAGGCATGCACTACCACGCCCAGCTGATTTTTTGATTTATTGTAGAGATGAGGTCTTGCTGCCCAGGCGGGTCTCGAACCCGCGGGCTCAGGCAATCCACTCACCTCAGCCTCCCAAAGGTGCGGGATTACAGGCTGAGCCACCGAGCCCAACTATAATATTTCTTGATAGTCACTCTAACTCCCTGGTGCATAGGTTGGATAAGCATCATAATATTCAGTGGCAGATACTCTGACATGGGGATGAAAGTCATCCATGAATGAGGAGTGGCCCACAGCATTGTCAAGCAGCAAAAGAATGTTGATTGTGATTCTCCAAGCAATATTTCTTTACCTCTAGGATAAAGTGATAGGAAAATGGTCCTGCAAACAGGACTGGAAAATGGTAGGAAAACGGTCCTGGAAAATGGGTTGTGTAACCTAGACTTTGGGGTTACTCTTCTACATAATAGGAAAAGAGCCTTTGGCTATGTTTTTAAGGGCTCTTGGGTTCTCTGAATGATAAACTAAGAGAGTCTTCAGCTTCATATTGCTAGAAGCATTGCCACCAAACAACAAAGTCATCCTATACTTTGCTGATTTTCAGCCTGGCATCAACTTTTTCTCTTTACTGATGTAACTTTGGTCTGGCATTCTCTTCCAGTACAACCCTATCTCATCCACATTAAAAACCTGCTTGGGTAAATATGCTCCTTCATCAATAATTTCTCAAAACGTTTCAGGAAATTCCTGGGCAGCTACCTTATCTACACTCACTGCCTCGCCACTTACTTTTAAGTTGTGAAGGTTGACTCTAGCCTTGAACCAATGAAACCAGTCATGGCTGGCATTAAAAGATGTGTCCTCTGATTCTTCACTGTATTTCTTCTTCAAGTCTTCATACAGTCTTTTAGCTTTCTCTCGAATCAGCATTAAGCTGAACAGGACTTAACGCCGATGCTGATCCTGCATCCACACGCTAAAAAGTCTCCCATCTTCTCTATCACTTTTCCATGCTTCTTTGATATTATTGGCACATCATTGGCACAGCAGATATCACATATTTCATGATTTTGTCCTTGTTCTTTAGAATCACGCTAATGACTGAATATTTCATGTTATAAGAATGAGCAACATCTACCATCTTTTTGTCTCACTCCACTCTCTCAATTATTTTCACTTTTGTTTCCATCATTATCATTTGGCATTTCTTAGCAGTACCAGCTACATCACCACTGCTTTGATGCTTGCTACTAGACATCCTGGGCTTGAAATAAAGATACTGTACTACTATACTTATATACTATACAGTGCTGTAAAGTACACAAAAGCACAACTACTTATAGAGGACGCACACATGTAACAATGTACTCCAGACACATGAACTAACGTGATTGGACATAAGAACGCACATTCACATATTTGAAAGATCACAACTTGAGGGTTTGTATGTAAGGGACTCACTGTATTAAGTTCTCATTTATATGGAACTCTTAGGGATTGGATGGTTTGGGAGATGTCAAAACATATTAATAAAACTATTCTATTAATTTCCTTCTGGAATAGACTGCTTACCCATTTCATTGTTTTCTTAATGATGAAGGGTTAACGTGATGAACATTAGCTCTTACCATTTTCTATAAAAGAGCTTTCAGGGTAACTGGTAAGTGGTACAGGGCTGAATGTATACAACTCCAGCAGACCCCCTTGGTGTGTGTCTTTGTCCTTTTCCTCATTAAACTAGAATGAAATATGAGCAGTGACATACAATTGCAAATGGTGTGACCTGAATAGCTCTTTGCAAAATTAATGAGGGCATTAGTACAAAGCATCTGTTTATTCAAGTCACTAGGAAAGTCTTCACAATTCATAATAGGGTATGTGACTTGTCTACTTTATTGACTTTACTACAACAGACAACATGCACCTTCTTGTCAGCTTGTACTCCAGCTTATGAATAGAGAATGAAGGAGGTGTTTTCATAATTTTAGGCATCCATGGTAAAGAACTTAGATATAATTGACTTCAAAGCCTGCTGAGTCTTCATCACTGCAAAACACTTTTTTTTTTAAATGCAAGACACATTTTTCTGGGCATAAACAACAATACAACCTTTAATGCTCACATAATGAACCAACTTCTTATGAAATATCTCTGTACTAGTTTTTGACTAAGATCTCTATTAAAATGTTGAATCAATAAGCTAATAATGAGCCGGGCTCGGTGGCTCAGCCTGTAATCCCGCGCCTTTGGGAGGCTGAGGTGAGTAGATTGCCTAAGCCCGCGGGTTCGAGACCCGCCTGCGCAGCAAGACCTCATCTCTACAATAAATCAAAAAATCAGCCGGGCGTGGTAGCGCATGCCTGTAATTCCGGCTACTTGGAAGGCTGAGGCGGAAGGATCGCCGGAGCCCAGCAGGTCGAGGCTGCGGTGGCCGGGAGCGGCCACTGCACTCCAGTCTGGGCGACAGAGTGAGACTCCGACTCAAAAACAAAAAGCTAATAATGGAGGGTAAGGTGAAAAAAATATCGAAATACAATTTAGGTTGCTTTTTATTGTATTATCTCTTTTCTTCCTTCAACATACCCTCTTTGACAAGACAACAAATCACAGTGGAGATGTCTTAGACCTTGCTAGGGGAATGCAGCTACTTCTCAGTTCCTTTATCTTCCCTCTCTGCTACTCCTGGTTGCTTCCACCCCTAGCTGCTATTACCAATCTGCACTTTTACTTTTTAGTCTTATAATTATCCTATTCTCAGCTTTCATATAAAAAATGCTGGCATTTTACAAACTTTTCCAGCTGAGCAATGGTGATGTAACCAGTTTTATAACCATGTACAATTTCCTTTTCTAGCCATATACAATTTCCCTTTCTTCTCAACTGATTTTTGCTAGTAATTTTTGGTCCTGAACCCACAGGCTTAGGCAATCCACTCACCTCGGCCTCCCAAAGTGCTGGGATTACGGGCTGAGCCACTGAGCCCGGCTGTCCATTTTCTTTACTATTTTATGTAGGTCACCTCACAATTTATTTTAAAAACTTTCTAAATTGTTCTTGATATACTTCTTTTCCAGTATATTCAGATTATACTCTCAGAAATAATAATCTTCCTAATGTTTTTTCTTCCTATCATTTTTTCCATTTAGGAACTTATAATTCCATCAGGTTTGAGTTCCTCTATTTATTAAAAGATCCATCCCCATACATCAAATAGATACTATTTTCTCTATAAAGACTCTCTTCTCACTATCTCCATAGGCCAAAATATCCTTTTTATCTCTGTACTTGCTTTCTTCCTAAAATGTCTTATTTCCCCTAAATATTGCTTTGTATTCCAGTTCTGCTACCCTGCACACTGAAAAGCACACAGCAGGGACTAAAATACTTGACTTATTTGTTGATTTATCAATTAATTTGGGGAAGTAATTAATATATAGAAGTTATTTAATATCAGCTTTTTCCAAAAGCTTATTAGGTTAATCAATATTAAAGAATCTCCTTTAAATATTTCTGTAAAGTTTTCGGGATTAATTTATCACATAAAAAGAGTCGCTCATTCAGATGTGAAGTTTTCAATGGAAAGTTTTCTGACTTTCACATGAAGTGTAATGAAATATAAATTAGATGCCTGATTAAAAATGAATTATTTTCAAGCTTAAACTATTAAAAACATTATAGGAGTTAAATATATTTAAAACTAAGAAAGCTTTTTTTGGAAAAAGTCTCAGAGTTTACCATCTGATACCCTAATTTTTAAGTACTAGTTGGCTCTTCCACACAGATTAAGTTTAAAAGAATCATAGATACCAATTTTCTTCAAGAACAGGAGGTGAAGTATGTGTAGGCCTCTCTCTTGGACTAGTTTGGGTCAGTCTTCTGCACCATGATGTTACTGTTGTCACATATCTAGAGTGAACACATTAAAAGAAATATTTGAAAATGTAACTTGCATATATTACAAAAGAATACCAAAAAATGGAAAAATCATTAATACAATTCTGGGGAAAAAAGGATAAAGGAAAAATTTTTTAGTGAGGTATTTACGGGACAATCTTATATTTCTATCTTTTCCACTCTACATAGGAAAGACACTTTTTTCCCCCATTATTTCATCAAGAATAAGATGATTTTCTTACAATCATGATTAATAAAGATGACATTTCAGAATTAAAATAAAGGTCATATTTGAATTTCATTCAAAGTTCAAATTCAAATGTTTAAATTCTCCTTTTAGTTTCATTTCTCCTCTGATTTTCATTAAGTTTTGTCATGGATATGTCTTTATACCTAATAAGACTACATAAGCTTGGTTTACTAAAATTTAAATCAGAAAACACCCATTAAAAGCATACACATACATATATAAATGTATGTATAGTTATATATAATTCACTGAATATACAAAATAAGTATCAAATTTAATAAATAATCTGAAGTGACTGACTAAAATAAATAGTAATGGTTGCCTACGACATTATCTTTTTAAGGCAAATGACTCAAAACAGCAATGAATATTGAAGCATTAAAACTAAAAGGCGGCCGGGTTCAGTGGCTTGTCTATAATCCCAGCACTTTGGGAGGTTTGAGGTGAGTGAATTGCCTGAACTTGCGGGTTCAAGACCAGCCCAGGCAACTTGGCAAGACCACATCTCTACAATAAAATAAAATTTTAACAATTGGCTGGATGTGGTAGCACACGCCTGTAGTTCTGGCTACTTGGAAGGCTGAGGTAGAAGGATCTCCAGAGCCCAGCAAGTTGAGGTTGCAGTGCTGTGAGCATGCCACTGCACTTCAGCCTGGGTGATGGAATGAGACTCCAACTCAAAAAACAAAAACAGAAACAAAAAACTAAAAGGCAACATATGTTCAATATCCCTTATCAGAAATGCTTAGAATCAGAAGTGTTTCAGGTCTTGGATTTTTTTTTTTTTTTTAATGTTAAAATATTTGCATAAACCCTATCAGTTGAGCATTCCTTATCTGAAGTTCTCCAATGAGCATTTCCTTTATGCATGACCTTGAATATCATGTCAGCACTCAAAAAATTTTAGATTTTGAAGCATTTTGGATTGTAAATTTTTGAATTTGGAATGTTCAACCTGTAAAATCCAACAGAAAAATATATTCAAGAGGCAAAAAAAAAAAAAGCAATTCTGTGAACATTATCAAATAAAATAAAATGTAAAGACTATCACAAGTAGAATTACTACAATAATAAATTAATAAGCAAAAAGAGAAGTATATTCATAAAAAGCTGAAGAATCTTCTCAATTTTAAGATGCCTGACCAGCTAATTTAATTTTATCTAGTTTATAGAAAAATATACAATTTTAGTTATCTGTGGTTACAAACCTTATTTCAAATTGGTCAGAGGATTTTAACCTGCTTACACAGCTGATCACAGTTGAATCTCCAAAGCAAGTCAGTATGTCTATAACACATTTCATTTTGAAAAATCACTTGAATACAAATAAAAATGATTAAAGCTAACCTGATCTCTTTAGTTAAGCTAAATAGCAATATAACTATAAACTTTGAAACCTGTTGAAATGACTTCATTCACATTATCCCCATGGAAAAACTAGAAGTATATGCAACATTTAAATAATGTTTCTATGCATACTCTCTGACAAAGGTAAAACACAAAAATAATTTTAAAAATTGCTTTTCTGTACCTTTCATATGGCTCAGGGTGTTCAATTTGAATTAACTGATCTTGTCCATCAGGAAAAGTTAACTTACACCAACCTAAGATGACACCTTGATTTACCTTAAGAAGCAAGGATGAAAGGAAAGTTTCATCATTCTACAACTGAGAACAAAGACATAAACAACCTCTTCCAATTTCATTACCAACTTTAAAAAATATGTAGAAGAATCATTAAAAATTTATTTTGACAATTTAGGCCAGGTGCAGTGGCTCATGCTTATAATCCCAGCACTTTGGGAAGCCAAGGTGGGAGGATCACTGGAGCCCAGGAGTTCGAGACCAGCCTGGACAATATGTGAGACTTCATCTTTACAAAAAAATTAAAAAATTAGCTGGGTGTGGTGGTACGTGCCGGTAGTCCCAGCTACTGGGGAGTCTGAGGTAGTAAGATTGCCTGACCTGGGAGGTCAAGGCTGCGGTGTGCTGGGATTGTGCTACTGTAATTACAGCCTGAGTGAGACCTTGATTTAAAAAAATGTATTGCCAGGCTTGGTGCCTCAGCCTGTAATCCCGCACCTTTGGGAAGTTGAAGTGAGTGGATTGCCTGAGCCCACGGATTCGAGACCTGCCTGGGCAGCAAGACCTCATCTCTACAATAAATGAAAAAATCAGCTGGGTGTGGTAGCGCATGCCTGTAATTCCGGCTACTTGGAAGGCTGAAGCGGAGGGATCGCCAGAGCCCAGCAGGTGGAGGTTGCGGTGGCCAGGAGCGGCCACTGCACTCCAGTCTGGGCGACACAGTGAGACTCCAACTCAAAAAAACAAACAAAACAAAATGTATTTTGACAATTTAAATGGAATATTCTACATGGGATATAGGTAGTATTTAACCACCACTCATACATATATAATTATCAAAGAGAATACAAATATGAATCCCTTTTTCTATAATGAGTTATCCTTATAAAAATGACCATTTGTCAAACATTCTTATTTTTGCTATGAAATCCAATGAGATCAGTAAAGCCTTTTGTCAGATTTTATACTTCAAAAAATAAACTGAGATAATGTGGTACTTTATTTTTTTGTTCTGTTTTCCACAGCTAAGTAATCAGCCAAAAATAGCTACCAGTCTGGAGTATACCCACCTGTCTCTCATCAGTAGAAGAGCTGAAATTCCAATTTAGAGTTAGAGTAATACCATCTAAAAAGATAGCATGTACTTTGTCATCAGAGTAGGCGAGAAATCTCCCTATACTGGGAATAAGTGATTCTTTCAAAAGCAAAGGCAGTATATTGCTCTCCTTCATCTCAGATACCTAAAACCGGGTAAATAAAAAGAGCTTAAGTTAATATTAAGTGAATATTAATGACTCTACAGCAACTTCAGATTTTTATTCAGGAGTTGAATATTGCAGAATCCTATGTATGTTTTAGCTTTTCCAGAAGTGGATCCCCAAATCAGTCCATCTACAAGCAGATTAAGTTATATCTTTGTAAAGTCATAAAATATGTAAAGTTCTGAACTTTACATAAAATAGAAAAATTAGGAACTAAAGCAATGTATAGATTTGCAATTAAATTAATATAGATACAGAAATCAAAATCTAAGAATCATTTCCTCCAAGTCAACATTAAAGAATTTACTTTTATAGTTATGAAAATATAGAACATTAATATCATGGTTTATAATGATTATGTTTTTATATACTTCAAAACAAGTTGATTCTCCTGTCCTTCCCACTCCATTAAAAATAAACCACATACAATAAAAGTATACATAAAATCCTGATTTTTTTCAGTATCTGTCCATTAGGTAGGTATTTTCCTGAATAAATCACTATTAATGTTACAAAAATGTCTCACACGACCCAGATGAAAGCAGATTAAGGGTCAGGTGTGGTGGCTCACACCTATAATCCCAGCACTTTGGGAAGCCAAGGTGAGAGGATTGTCTGAGCCCATGAGTTCGAGACCAGCCTAGGCAACTTGGCAAGGCCTCATCTCAACAATAAATCAAAAAATTAGGTGGGCGTGGTGGTGTGTGCCTGTAGTTCCAGCTACTTGGAAGACTGAGGCAAAAGGATTGCCAGACCCAAGCAGGTGGAGGCTGTGGTGGCCATGAGTGTGCCACTGCACTCCAACCTGGGCAACAAAGTGATATTCCAACTCAAAAAAGAAAAAAGAAAAAAATAAAGCAGATTGACCTTTTAACTATGAAAACAAATGACAAAACAATTTTTAAATTTTACTTTTGAAATAACATACCATTTTCCAGCAGCATATACAATAGTTATGGCCTAAAGAAAGTCTCATCTTCACACAGTGTTGAAGAATTCTGTGAACATAAAAAACACTACTTAAACATTTGCAAATAGCTGAGCACGGTGGCTCACACCTGTAATCCCAGCACTTTGGAAGACTGAGGTAGGAGGATTGCTTAAGCCCAGGAGTTTGAGACAAGCCTAGGAAACATAGGGAGATCCCATCCCTATAAAAAGTTTAAAAATTAATCAGGTATGGTGGCACTCACCTCTAGTTCCCAACTATACAGGAGGCTGAGGCAAAAGAATTGCCTGAGCCCAGGAGTTCCAGGTTGCGGTAAACTGTGAGCCACTGCACTCTAGCCTAGGCAACAGAGCAAAACCCTAACTCAAAAAAAAAAAAAAAAATGCAAATAATGACATTTTTCAATTCTAGCAACCCATTCTCAATGTCATACAACATTTTAGATTGCAAGTAATTCATTTCCACTAAAATGTGTTGGGAAATTTTTTTTTCTTCCCCAAGAAATCCTTAAGCCTCTAGAAGGGAAGTACTGTTGCTTCCTTTTGTGCTAGCTTTACCTAGTTCAGGCTATTCCTCTAAATTTTAGTGCTGAAATATTTCCATGGAGAGGATTTTCAGGTGGTCCTTTTTTTCTTGAGTTGGAGTCTCAATCTGTGGCCCAGGCTGGAGTGCAGCGGCACACACACAGCCACCACAGTCTCGAACTGCTGGGCTCAGGCAATCCTTTCGCTTCAGCTTTCCAAGTAGCTGGAACTACAGGAACGCACCACAACACCTGGTTAATTTTTTGATTGATTGCTGAGACGCAGTCTCGACAAGTTGCCAAGGTTAGTTTTGAACCCCGAGGCTCAAGCAATCCTCTCACCTCCACCTCCTAGAGTGCTGGGATTACAGGCATGAGCCACTGCGCCCAGCCGGGTGCTCCTTTTTGTTTTTGTTTTGTTTTTGTTTTTTGAGTTGGAGTCTCACTCTGTCACCCAGATTGGAGTGCAGTGGCCACTCCTGGCCACCGCAGCCTCGACCTGCTGGGCTCCAGCGATCCTTCTGCCTCAGCCTTCCAAGTAGCTGGAACTACAGGCGTGCACTACCACGCCCGGCTAATTTTTTGATTTATTGTAGCGATGAGATCTCGCCAAGTTGCCCAGGCGGGTCTCAAACCCGCGGGCTCAGGCAATCCTCTCACTTCAGCCTCCCAGAGTGCTGGGATTACAGGCTGAGCCACCGAGCCCGGCTTAGGGTGCTCCTTTTTAAGAGGTGACAGATTAATAGTGCCTGGAAGGTTTAGCATAGCCTAAAAGTGGTGGGGATATGAGTCAATTAACCCTAGGAAATCAAATTACAATTCTGCTCCTTCAAATCTATCTTGAAAGCTGCTTAGACATAAACATTTATAAAAAGAAATAATTGAATTCAACAATCCTCTTTCATTCTTCTGGGTGCCACAGACTGAGAGAATTTTTTAAAACATATGAACTAAAGAACCAAACTATACTTCATCCATAGTATACACTCAGAAATCTTTATTATTTTGAGGACAATAAAGAAGTATGAAAATTTTTCATGTATCATCAAATCCCCAACTTGATTTCAAGTAACAGTAATGATGCCACATTTACCCAGGAAAAGGCATTTATTTCCTCTCAGCACTTGTTTAACATATATAGATGTTTCTCCATATTTAAATTCCAAAGCCAGAACTTTTTTTTTTCTTTGAGTCAGGGTCTTACTCTGTCACCCAGGCTGGAGTGCAATGGCACAATCACAGCTCACTGCAGTCTTGAATTACTGGACTCAGGTGATCCTCCAGCCTCAGCCTCCCAAGTAGCTGGGTCTACAGAAGAGTGCCACCACTCCCAGTTAATTTTTTTTACATTTTTTTGGTAAAGATGAAGTCTCTCTATATTGCCTAGGCTGGTCTCGAACTCTTAGGCTCAAGCAATCCTTCTACTCTGGTCTCCCAAACTGTTGGGATTAAAGGCATAAGTCACTGCTCCCAACCCAAGTACTTTTATAATGATACAGAAATTATCTTATTTTATAAATTATGAGACGAAAAAAGTTGGAAAATATTACCAAAGATATATATTTCCATTGTACCTGCCAATTTCTAATCTTTAATTACAAGAAAACATATCAAGGTTTTCAGATAATACTTGAATCAGTTAAATGAGAACATACCTTGTTGCCTGCTTAATTAGAGAACACACAGAGAACAGAGTTCCTGGTCTATCTGGAGGAAGGTTATTTACTAAATAAGTTTTCTCTTCTCTCTGAAAATTAAATAAAACAATCTTATTAATAATAAATTTTGGCCCTTATTACTTAGCTATTTTTTTCTTGAAATATGTATTTACATAGTGACAAGACAAACAAATATTTTAACAATCTAAAACCCATAAAACCTGTATATTTAACCTGTATATTTTCCATTTTCCTATTTTTTTTAAAGTATAGAATTCCTCCTGTAAATTCAAAAGTTACATCCTGATAGCCTATAACTTACTGCCCAATTTAAATCTTGGTTATACTTAAATTCACATGGTAACCAAACTAATTTTCCTACATATCAGCAGAAAATGTATCACATAAGTCCAAATAAATAAACAAATTAATGACTATAGAGTTTTTAAAACATTTTTAATGTAATGAATTTATCATTTTGTTATAGTTTAAAACTATTGCTGCAGTTGTTGAAGACAATATTATTTATAGGCTCAAGTACTTGAAATTTTAAAAAATGTTACTTTGTTATTCTTTCTAATTTCCTCTTTCTCAGACTTGCTAGTGTTTCCCAGAACGGTCTCTTCTGACTTCTGATTTCTTTTCAGGTAATCCCAACAGGGTCCAAAGCTGTGTTCACGTGTCATAATAGCAACAGCTAACATTTATAAGGCAGATAACTATGTGCTAGGTGCTATGATCTCATTAATTCCTCAAAATAATTCTGACATAAGAATTACTAATGCCTCTTTTTAGATGAGGAAATGGAGGCTGAGGGTTAAAAAGTAAGAGATCTGATGTGAAGATTCATATTATTTACCATCAGGGAAATACGTTGGGCTTCAACTTCTTTCAGACTGAGTCCTTCCTCATCCCCATTATCCAATCAGTCATCAAATCTAGACAGATTTGGATTCAAATTGTAGTTGCCTCTTACTAACTATAATAATGGGCAGGCTAGCCAATGTTTTGTAAGTGCCTACTGCCTATCAACCAGATTGTCCTGAGGATTAATCATACAATACACATATAAAACACCTGGGACTGAATCTCATATAAAGCAGGTATGCAAAAAAAAAAAAAAAAAAAAAGTCTTGCTCCTTTTATCCTGGTCCATACTTAAATATCTAAATCTCAAAAAAAAAAAAAAAAAAGAAAAGAAAAAAAGCCAGGCTCGGTGGCTTAGCCTGTAATCACAGCACTTTGGGAGGCTGAGGTGAGTGGATCGCCTGAGCCCGCGGGCTCGAGACTCACCTGGGGAACTTGGCGAGACCTCATCTCTACAATAAATCAAAAAATTAGCCGGGCGTGGTAGCGCGCGCCTGTAGTTCCAGCTACTTGGAAGGCTGAGGCGGAAGGATTGCCGGAGCCCAGCAGGTCGAGGCTGCGGTGGCCGGGAGCAGCCACTGCACTCCAGTCTGAGTGACAGAGGGAGACTCCAACTCAAAATAAATAAATAAATAAATAAATAAATCTCTATAGGGCTTCCCTTCTGGATATCACAACAGATATCTCAACTTGAACATGTCAAAAGTGAAATTACCTTCATTTCAAAATTTGCATTTTCATCTTCTCTACTCTGTATTTACCTGTCAATTATCACATGTTGTTCCTCTACCTGGAAATTGGTTCCCTCCTCCAGCACCTCTCTCTGTCTAGCTAACACCTATTTTTCTTTCAGTCTCAGGGAAGCCATCACAGAAGTCTCACAGATCAGGCGAAATTCTCTGGTTATGTCCACAAGCATAGTTACCTCAAGTTCTGCTTTGTGGCCTTCTCCACAATTTCAATTTAATCATTTTTTTTTACCTAATGTCTATCTTTCCTGCTAAATTGGAGCTCCATGAAGGTAGGGGCCATATGTTTTGCTTACCTCTGTATGCCCAACATTTATTAGCATACTGCTTAGCACATGGTAGGCACTCAAAATATCAAATTTTATTTATATATTTCTCAATTGAAAATTGAGTTCACTGAAGGTTCTTATGATTTCCACTACTCTATTTCATAAGTTTAAAATGCATATTTTTCACAACCTAGCCTCTCTGAAATCTGGACAGAGCTTTATATATATATATATGTGTGTGTGTGTATATACATATATATGTATGTATGTAGATAGATAGATAGATAGATAGATAGATAGATAGATAGATAGATAGATTGATTGATTTTTTTTTTTGGAATTTCACTCTGTAGCCCAGGTTGGAGTGCAGTGGCATGCTCACAGCCACTGCAGCCTTGACCTGCTAGGCTCAGGCGATGCTTCTACCTTAGCCTTACAAGTATCTGGAATTATAGGTGTATGCCACCACACCTGACTAATTTTACCCCTTATAATTAAGAGTGTTTTACAGTCTATTAGGCAGGTGGGGTCAAGTTATGGTTGAATTTAAATCTTCTATTGACCCCCCCCCAGTAAAATAAAAAAGCAGTTATCAAAACAATTTAGATTAAAATTTTGATTTCATATAGTGCTTGGCAACTTCCATTCACTGAGTTATTCAATAATTTGGCATCCTTTTCAATTCCTTCCTCATCCCCAATATCCAATCAGTCATCAATTCTGTCTCCTAAATATTTTTTGTGTCCATTTTCATCTTTCAATTTTTTCTGACTGCCTGCTCCTCACTTGAATTGTGGCTTCTAACTGGTTCTACAGCTTGACCTCTTCCCCACTTAGTTCATCTTCCTCTGAATCTAACAGAAATCTGATGTCAGCTGGGTACAGTGGCTCATGCCTGTAATCCCAGCACTTTGGGAGGATGAGGCAGGAGGATAGCTTGAGCCCAGGAGTTCCAGACCAGCCTAGGCAACAAAGGGATACCTCGTCTCTACAAAAAAATTTTTAAAATTAGCTAGGTATGGTAAGACCCTAAACTCAAAAAAAAAAAAATCTGCTGTCACTTCCTTATTGAAAATCCTTTAGTGATTGCCCAAATGCAGTATGGTTTCTCACACTCCATTTATGAGCTGGCCCAACTTAGTGATCTAGTGTCTTCTTTGGACATTTCCACAACATCTTCTCTATTTTTTGGCCTACAGCATTTTCACTTTCTTCAACACTCCATGCTTGCCCCAAGCTTTTGTATCCACTTAGGCGTCATTTATCCACTGTTTTAAGCACCAGCAATAATGGTTTATTTAGCTTACCTCTAATATGGCAGACAGTAAACAAACACAGATCAATTAGAAAATGTCACCTAATATTAAGTGCTATGAAGAAAAAAAGATGAGGATACCATGACAGGGAGTGTTGGATAGTCAGGAAAAGTCTGTGAGGTGGTGACATTTAGATAGAATTCTGAGTGACAAGAAGCCTGCCATGAAGAGTTGAGAAAGTGAATTATTTGTTTCTTGGCTATTTGTTCCTCCGCTAGAATGATAAATCCTAGCTTAGCCAAGTCTTCCTTCAGGCTAGGTCAAGTGCCCTTTTTTTTTGAGTTGGAGTCTCACTCTGTCACCCAGACTAGAGTGCAGTGGTCACTCCTGGCAGCCTCGATCTGCTGGGCTCTGGCGCTCCTTCCACCTCAGCCTTCCAAGGAACTGGAACTACAGGCACACGCTACCACACCTGGCTAATTTTTGATTTACTGTAGAGATGAGGTCTTGCCAAGTTGCCCCGGCGGGTCTCAAACCCACAGGCGCAGGCAATCCACTCACCTCGACCTCCCAAAGCACTGGGATTACAGGCTGAGCCACCGAGCCCAGCCAAGTGCCCTTCTGTATGTGGTGCTAAAGCACCAAGTTCTTATCTGTGTGGAAGCACTCGCATGGTGAGTACTTGCCAATCTTTCCTATTTAAATTTTTAATTACACAAGGAATAATATATGACTATGTTTTTATTTTTAAAAGTTCAAAAAATAAAAATTAAGTCATCTCTGACTCCTCTTTTCTCACAAAATCTCAGATCTTTTCTTGTGCATGTACATGTATACTACAGAGAATAATTTATAAGTTTGGGGTTTATTTTCTGTTCTTTGCACAAAGATATCGTAGTACTTTTTTTTTTTTCTTTGGTAGAGATGAGGTCCAGCTATGTTCTCCAGGCTGGTCATGAACTCCTAGCCTCAAGTAATCCTCCCACTTCAGCCTCCCAAAGTGCTGAGAGTATAGGTGTAAGCCACCATACCTAACCCACTGTATATGTTCTGATGCAGCTTTCTTTTTTCACTCAATAATATCCTGGAGCTCTTCCAGTATCTATCTCTCTATGCATCTAAATCTTCCTCATTCTTTTCAACTGCTGCACAGTATCCTCATAATCTGATCACTATAACTTATTTCACCATTTCCCTATTGATGAACATTTATTTAGATTGCCTCCAGTTTTTTGCTACTACAAACAATGCCATAATCCATACCTTTATCATGATTCTTTGACTATATTGTGCAAATATTTTGAGACTTGATACCTAGAAGCAGAATTTATGATCAATTTTACTGATTCATGAAGGCGGCACGAGTTTACACTCCAACCAACCTATGAAAGTGTTCCTTTCCCTACATCCTTTCCAGCAGGTTACCAATCTTTTTAGTTTTTGATAATTTGATAAATGAAATGTTATGTCATTGATATTTTAATTTGCATCTCCCCGATGCAAGTAGTGACGTTGAATATATTTTCAAATATTATGAGTTTTCATTTATTTATTTGAGTTGGAGTCTCACCCTGTCACCCAGGCTGGAATGCAGTGTCATGCTCATGGTCACTACAGCTTCGACCTGCTGGGCTCAGGCGATCCTTCCACCTCAGTCTTCCCAAGCAGCTAGAACTACAAGCACATGCCACCATGCCCTGCTAATTTTTTGATTTATTGTAGAGAGGAGATCTCACCCTGTTGCCCAGGCTGGTCTTGAACCCATGGGCTCAGGCAATCCTCTCTTCTCCACCTCCCAAAGTGCTGGAAGTACAGGCATGAGCTACCATGCCCAGCCAAGTGTTTTATTTATACTGCCTTTTCTATTGCTTAACTATTCTTATCCTTTGCCCATTTTTCTATTAGTTTTTTTTTTTTTTTTGTCATTTCATTACTGCTTTATAGTATGGAATGTTTTCCAGGCCTTTATCTTTTGTTAACCTTAATTTAACAGAAATTTAAAATATTTATAATAATATAAATTTGAAAATTTCAAGCTCATCAAACTTGTTTTATTCTTTCAGATTTTCTGTATTGTACTTAAGAAGTCCCCCTACCCCACCCCAAGGTTATAAACATTGTTCTACATTTTCTTCTAACAATTATAAAGTTTGTTTTCTCACACTTACATTAACTCTTTAATTCACCAGAAATTTATTTTGAAGTATGGGCTAAAGTAAGGAGCAAACACTGTATCCCAAAAAGAGAGTCAACTGTTTTTAAGTCATTTCAATAAAGCAGAGAAGAGTGAGTGGGTTGTACACAGAGTTCTGAGAGTGAAGTCCAAAGCATTCCATCACAAATGTAAAATTTATTTGGAAGTTTTGTGTTTTAACCAAAAGTTCACGCTTCTACTCCATGATAAGTTTGCTTCAGTATAAAAATTATCACTCCCTCCCCAACAGTTTTGAGTAAAACTGAAGCTCTAGGAAAATGTATTCCATTTATCTTGAAATTTTACAAACTCCTTGATATACAGCAGTAAGTCGCATGACTATGCACACCCACTCTACTTGCCTGTCTGCTTGATTGTCTCATGTACTACATAAGCACACGTATACACATATATACATATATATATATTACTGGGCACATTTTCATCTCATTTGTTTGCCTCTCTGACCACTAGACTGTGAATCCCAGAGGGCAGGAACTCTTCTCATCTTCATCAGTCCCAGTGCTTACCAGAGTGCCTACCAAAGAGTAAGTATGCAATTAATATTTATTGAATAAATGAATACTCTCTTAGAAATAGACCCCACTAGGGAATCTGTTCCAATATATACCAAAGTATTTATGAATGACATGATAATTTGGATTTACTTAAAAATAAATAGAGAGTGGAGGGGGCAGTAGGAAGTATACATGAAAAGCTGGGTCATGGGTCCATGGGTGTCTGTTATATGTGTCTCTCTACTTTTGTCCATGTTTGAAACTTCCATAGCTCTGATAATCTTATTAGTACTTAAATACTCCATCTTGAGGCTGGGCTCAGTGGCTCAGCCTGTAATCCCAGCACTTTGGGAGGCTGAGGCAAGTGGATTGCCTGAGTCCATGGGTTAGAGAACAGCCTGGGCAACTTGGCAAGACCTCGTCTCTACAATAAATAAAAAATGAGCCAGGCACAGTGGCACACGCCTGTAGTTCCAACAATTTGGAAGGCTGAGGTGGAAGCATTGCCGGAGCCCAGCAGGTCAACGCTGGAGTGGCTGTGAGAGTGCCACTGCACTCCAGCCTGGGCGACAGAGTAAGACTCCAACTCAAAAACAAAATACTCCATCCATCTGTAATAAAGAGGGAAAACATATTTATTCTGTCCTAACCTGCAAAGCACAAGTTGTGTAATATTTTGGTAATCACTATAAAAGGGTAGATGTCAAATGTCAGACTGAGAATAAGAAAATTAAAACTCGTTAACAAAATATTCACATCATTAGACTATGGTCCAGTAGATACACTGTTATGTTTCACTATTTTCAACAACAGAGAATAATCTTGTTCAACTGTTTAGCTATATACAAAGATTTAGGAGTTAAGAGGTATTTAAAATAGTCAGACAATTAAATGGTAGGGGAAATTTTTTTTTTTTTTGAGTTGGAGTCTCACTCTGTCACCCAGACTGGAGTACAGTGGCCGCTCCTGGCCACCGCAGCCTCGACTTGCTGGGCTCCGGCGATCCTTCCGCCTCAGCCTTCCAAGTAACTGGAACTACAGGCGCGCGCTACCATGCCCAGCTAATTTTTTGATTTATTGTAGATATGAGGTCTCACCAAGTTGCCCAGGTGGGTCTCGAACCCGCGGGCTCAGGCAATCCACTCACCTCAGCCTCCCAAAGGCGCGGGATTACAGGCTGAGCCACCGAGCCTGGCGGAAATGTGGTTTTTAATGTACAAATATTAATTCAAGTATGAATTGACTCAAAATGACACTTCTAGTTGCAGCATTTTCTATTGATAAATTCTGCGACAGAAGAAATTTAGCTTTTGATTTAACATAAATTGCTTAGACAAATGGATATAGCAGGTGAGAAGACAGTAAAAATAAGGTAGTTAATATCTACTGTGCCAATGCTGGCAGGAAGACTATAATAATACTCCAGACTGGGGAGTAGGAAGCAATGTTATATAATGACCAAATTTACCATATATATTAAGAATTATTTAGAAAGAGCTATATACCTAAACTCTTCTTGAATTGAATTATCGGCTTACCTCTTCTGATCCTTCTTGAATGGAATAATATGTAAAATATTTCCCAAAATAAGTTCCTTCTGATTTGAAAACAGATCCATCTCCAGGATAAATCTCTATTGAGTTCATATGTTTATGTGTAAGTCTAAGGAAGACAAATAATCTTTAAAAAATTTTTTCCAATTGAGGCTGAAACACACATGAAGGCAGTCATTAAAAAACAAACAAACAAACAAGTATAGTCTTTTTGCCTACCCAGAGAAACATTTAATTTCATATTCTGAACCTAACTAGCTAAATTTACTTTTTCACAAAAGATAATCAGAAAACAAAGAATGGTTTTTGTATTTATTTCAACAACTAAACTCAGAGCATCTAGAATTTAGGTATCTTGTCTTATTATCCTTTTGATATCCCCATCACAGGGCTCACACCAAAGCAATGTCTACTGCTGTCCCATAGGAGTTATATGAACTTGAAAATAGACTTATTTCTTTTTCTTTTTATTTGGCTTGGGATCTCACTCTGTCGCCCAGACTGGAGTACAGTGGCATGATCAGGGCTCACTGCAGTCTTGACAGTTGGTTCTTTTACCTCAGCCTCGCAAGTGGCTGGGACTACAGGTTCACGCCACCATACCCAGCTTGTTTTTTAATTTTCTGTAGAGATGAAGTGTCATTATGTTGCCTAGGCTGATCTCAAACTTCTGGGCTCAAGCAATCCTCCTGCCTCAGCCTCCCAAAGTACTGGGATTACAGGCATGAGCCACCACACCCAGCCACATTATTTCTTAATAATGAAACTTGTAGAATCAATACCTTTTTTTTTTTTTTTTGGAGTTGGAGTCTCACTCTATCACCCAGACTGGAGTGCAGTGGCCACTCCCGGCCACCGCAGCCTCGACCTGCTGGGCTCCAGCGATCCATCTACCTCAGCCTTCTAAGTAGCTGGAACTATAGGCGTGTGCTACCACACCTGGCCCATTTTGATTTACTGTAGAGATGAGGTCTCGCCAAGTTGCCCAGACGGGTCTCGAACCCACAGGCTCAGGCAATCCACTCACCTCAGCCTCCCAAAGGCACGGGATTACAGGCTGAGCCACCGAGCCCGGCGAATCAATACCTTTTGGAAAAGATTAGCCGTCTGTACAAGGAGCCATCCCTAAGAGAAGGTGACTGAGTGTACCTGCAGCAACCAGTTATAATCAAGGTATTGGGTATATACCACATAAAAACTTAAGCCAAGTTAATTTTATGAACACATATGTTAGAATACATTGTCAGAAGGGATGGGTCTTCACACAGGAAAAGGAGAACCTCCTTGTTCCAAAAGAAATTAGTAGTGCTCTTTTAGCATTATTCATAAAAGTGAAACTCTCACTTTGGTCAACACTAGTATTTTAGTCATATAGAGATATCCTTGGCTGTGGGATAAGGATAATTCAATGAAATAGTGTTGGCACAGAACCGTTACTTAATGAATATTTGCCTCACAAATGTAGACGATATAACTTCCTTCATTCCATGCTTAACAAACAACTATCTGTTTTGACTAATTTAAACAACTAGATCCTCTAATGCTTGGAAGGAGCATCCTAAATAACTGATATAAATTTTACATTCACTAGCAAAACTGATCCCTCATTGGCTGCGGAGTTGCCACATATCTTGTAAACATGGTTAATGTGAGTCATAAGACCCTTGTGTACCCTAATAAAATTACTTTTGAGATCTGTAAAAATCAGTACCCCCATAGGCACACAATCAGTCAGACAGAACCATGTTCTCTTGAGATTATTTCTGCAAGACTAGCACCATTCCTCTTTGACAACAATAAATAGCTCCACTCCAATATATGTGCCTTACCTATATGTAACACCCTTGTACCAAACCATTTTCACTAGTTCAGGATAGAAATATTCTTCTTCATCAGACTGTATGTGTAAAAGTGAATCACAAAAATTCCACCTGTGAAGGATAAAATATGAGCTATTACTTCTGGTTGCTCAACATAACTACCTTTAAAAGTCAACCAAATAGTGCTACCATAACAAGATTTAGTTCTTGTTTAATTCATTAGATCAAAGAAAAATTAATATGAAAGAGTATTGACATTTAAAAGCAAGTCTTTTCCATGCATTTTCTTAAGTAGTTTCAATAATCTTATTATTGAATCTCAGCACAATTACATAAATTACATTTCATGAACATTTAAAATTTAGCTTAGATTCAAACAACAAATATTTACTGCAATATCTTGGTGGGCCAGACACTGTGCTATACACACTAGGACTGTAACACCCAAAAAACCAGAAATGGTCTCTGTCCTCAATGGAAATTCTTGTGACAGGGATGTTAAATAGTAAACACTGGGAGTAAAGAAAGGGGAAGTACCAAATGCTATGGAATTGTATACGGAGTTAACTTGTCTAGGGTCTTCAAGAAAACCACCCTAAAGTGGTGAGGCTTAAGCTGAGACCTGAAAATGAGCACGTTTGCCAGCTGTGCAAGAATGACCTTGCAGAATGAATGGCAGGTGCAGTGGTGAAAGACAGCTCGAGCGAGCATTCTTGAGAGTGCAAGAAGACCAGTTCAGCAAGAGTAAAGAAAGCAAGGGCTAGAGTGGTGAGAGTTGAGGATTACCAATATAGGAAGGGACCAGATCATGAAAGACCTGTTAAGTCCTGTTAAGGATAATGGATTTCAACATAAAGCTAATAGTTATTTAACAAGTGTTCATTTAAAAGTATAAATCTCTTTTGACATATACCCATAATGCTAGATTTTCTAATTTTAACCAGATAATTGTGACAAGCCTGAAAGTCATTCCTACATTTATTTTAAGCAACAAACATGTGGCCAGGTGCAGTGGCTCATGTTTGTAATCCCAGCACTTTGGGAGGCCAAGGTGGGAGGATTGCTTGAAGCCAGGAGTTCCAGATCAGCCTGGACAACATAGCAAGACGCCATCTCTACAAAAGAATGAAAAAATTAGCCAGCTGTGGTGGTGCATGTTTGTAGTCTCAGCTACTTGGTAGGAGGAGGCAGGAGGATCACTTGAGCCCAGGAGTTCAAGGCTGCAGTGAGCCGTGATTGTGCCACTGCACTCCAGCCTGGGCAACAGAGCAAGACCTCATCTCAAAATAAATTAAATAAATAAGTAACACATGTGCATTCAGACACTAGCTGGGATTAAATCCCAATTCTACAAGTACTAGTTATGTGCCTTTGCTCCAGTTACTTAACATTTCTGTGTCTCAAGCTCATCTACAAAATGGGAATAAAAGTTCTACTTCACAGGGTTTCCACGAGGATCAGACAGGTAAAGGCGAACAGTGCCTGACACATAAGTGTTTTGTAAGTGTCAGCTATTATAATTATTATAAAATTCATGCTACAAATCTACAACTATTAGGTTACTCATCTCTTAATAGAGGTAAACAGTTTTATACCTAGCCACTTGGAAGTCTCTCCATGTTTACCGTTTTGAAAATTAACATATTTACAGTCAATTAACCAAACAAAGATGGGTTGCCTTTGAAGCTAAGTAACAAAAGAACCCATGATTATAACGCTGTCAGATTCATGCTCTAGCAAGCAAAGTCACAGTCTCTAGTGAGCGGCAGCAAGTGTTTCTCTGTGCTCGCTCCTACAGCCCTGTGCATCCCATCACTTGCTACACTTTAATAACCCTTTTAGGAACAGTGTCTTCACCAGACTCTAAGTTGCTAGAGAGCAGGGACTGTAGTCATCTGTACAGTCACTGGGCTTACCAAAGTATCTAGTGCAGAGTCAGCCTTCCATAAACCTCCAATGCATGGACATAGAGTAAGAAACCTAAGCAACATGTTTGTTAGGGAAATTGTTTACAATCAGTTAAGAGCAAAGTTTTGGATTAACTAAATGAACTTTCCTTACAAATGGCATCAGATGATTTACAAAAAAAATTATTCTCAGTTAAAGACCAATTCTGACAAAAGCTTTTATAAACCAATAACCTTCCTGCATTACCTGTGTAAGTGTGGGACAGGACAGCTGAGGGACAGGGCCCTGGGAAGAACAGAAATTTCTTTTCCTCTTTCCTCTGAAACATCAGAAGTTGAAACTCTACTCTGGATGATATCTGCACCAATTTTAGACATATTGCTAACTTTATTATGAAAATGAAGTGCTAAAGACAAAGGATATTTCCATTCCTCTGGACAGGAGTCCACAGACCAGCACTGCTTTACCCACGTATATACATATGTGTGCTTTGGACCAGATGAAGACAGTTTCTCCCTCCCTTCAGTTCCATTTACACAACTTGTCTTCCTTAAATGTTCTTTGGATTTCATGATCTGGCAATAAAGTTCATTTTCCTTATTCTTCAGTCTTTGTCCTAATACATTTCCATATGTACAGATTTTTCCAGCTTTCTCATGTACTTTTTCTTTTGGGACATGATTAGTTTTTTCTGACAATGCTACAGATGAGTCTGGCTTCTGGCTAACTTTACACAAAAAATGCACTGTAAATTCATGCTGAGATTTGGGTAGACAAAGGTATGCATGACCATCTAGAGATGTTATCTTCACGGTGCCACTCTCCATACATATCATGCTACCAACTGTATCAAGACTGGGCCATCGTACTTCTGAGATGTCAATGAAGATATGCTGAATTGAAAGGGGGAAAAGAGATGGTAAGTATTTTCTGATGACAGTTCAGTTTTTCCAAACATTTGTTACTTAAGAATTGTGTAAGAAAGTTCTTAAATATTTGTTTATAGCCGGGCTCGGTGGCTCAGCCTGTAATCCCGCGCCTTTGGGAGGCTGAGGTGAGTGGATTGCCTGAGCCCGTGGGTTTGAGACCTGCCTGGGCAACTTGGCGAGACCTCATCTCTACAATAAATCAAAAAATCAGCCGGGCGAAGTAGTGCGCACCTGTAGTTCCAGCTACTTGGAAGGCTGAGGCAGAAGGATTGCAAGAGTTCAGCAGGTCGAGGCTGCAGTGGCTGGAAGCAGCCACTGCACTCCAGTCTGGTCGACAGAGTGAGACTCCAACTCAAAAAAAAAAAAAAATTGTTTGTTTCACTACCTAAAAGAATAAAACTAGAGAAACATATGACAACCTATATGGTTTTCCAGAAAATATCTGATATTGTTAAGATTATCTCTCTCAAAAAAAAAAAAAGATGTAAAGCACGCACACACATACAATACAAGGGAAACCAAAAAAACCCCAGAATCTTTGGAGGGCAGGCCCCTTTGTAGTACAGACTTCCTCCAATAGGTAAGTGTCCTAGAAACCCATTGGTATCAGTGTTATCAGCTAGCATTGTTATGAGAGGTTACACTTGACTTCAGTGAATTGTTTTTGGAGATTCTTTCAATGTGTTTGCCCATTTCATGATGGGTAATTTACAAGTGCACCTGCCTATATAGCACTGAGTGTTCAGCAGTTTTTGACCAAAACAGCATGACCCCTGTGCTCTACCCTCTATGTTCACCTGATCTTGTCCAAGTGACTTTTTGTTTGTTGTTTCCTTGGATGAAAAAGTCCTCAAAGAGAAACATTCTGCCGATGTGGAAGAGGTGAAACAAAAAAAGACAGAAGCACTAAAAGGCATCAAAATTGGCAAGTTCAAAAATTGTTTTGAGCAGTAGAAAAAGCATCTCGATAAGTGTATTGCATCAAACTGAGAGTACTTTGAAGGTGACTAAAGTTTAAACACGTAAGAATAAATACACAATTTTTTATACATGGATTCTGTTTTGTTGGGGGTTATCCCCTCATAAGGGAAAAGAAGAAAAAAAAATAACATCCTGATTATATTTAGTGTTAAACATATTTTGGTTTAAAATGTACAAGAAATCAGAGATAAACCGATTTTTCACATTCCCCTACCCCAAAAGCCTACTCTGAAAAATAACAGAAATGAGGGAAGATCAGAGTTATAATGCACTATATTAAAAGCAATCATAGCTAAAAAATAAATAAAAATTTTAAGTTAAAACAAGTAAAAGCAACTCTAGTTTAAATGGTATGAAATTAGCATTAAAATCATTGACAGAACTACTCAGAAAATACAAAGCAGACTTAACTGTATTTTTAAACGTTGCATGTGGTAACATAACCTTTTCAAAACAAGAGAAAAAGGAGCAATTTAATAAAGAGTACTGGAATTATTGAACAGCATTTGGGAAATGCTATCTAAGTGGGTTATCACATAGACTAATAAGATAACATGTATAAAGTACCTGGCAGATCATATACTAAAATAAATTCCAGGTGGCTTAAGGAGTAACATTTGAAAAAGTTTAATATTTCAAAGGAAAACTGATCCCGATCAATAGCAAACAGACTCATAACAAGTAACAGTGCCAGTAGTGTCTTTTCATATAAGGTGTAAGCAGTAGGTGTTGTATAAGTCTCTTAATCAGTCAATTTTGCCAACAGTTTAACATTTCAATTTCAATTATATCAAACCTTAAATTAACAAAAACTATTGTAAGGAAGCTTCTTAAATTTACAGTGCTACCTATGTGTACAATGTTAGGACACTAAAATTAAGGGCTATATTTGTTAATGGCAAACCTGGTTTGTAAGGATGGTCCTCAGTTAAGAAAGTTCTCTCTGTTAGAATTAGCAAGCTATGCAGTTTCAATAAATAATGTTACTCAAAAGTCAAAATGAAAAAGAGTCTTCAAAACTAAGTTGCAGCTTATAATTTTTTATGGGCCCCCTTGTCACAAGATAATATAAAATTTTACATTACAAATTACTCAGCAAATATCTGTCGGGGGATGGGAAAACACTTCTTATCTACAGGGTGCCTGAATGAAACATCATTGTACACCTAACCCTTAACTGTACCCCACAAAACCATAATAAAAAATACTGA